TCCTTTATAAATGAAAATATTCCATCCATATCCACTCCTGAAAAAAAATAAAGTTAAAAAACAGATCCTGCAGCTGAATGTGATCAGTGCTTCGTTACAGACAGCATATGAAAAACATGACAATAAATCAAAACAGATCCTAAAAGACATTGTTTCATCCGAAGCAATAGAAAAATATAATCTGAAAACTGATATTTCGAAATCATTGGGACTGAAAGGGAGAGTAAGAAAATTTCAGAAAAAGGAAAGGACATACAAAGAAGCTAAAGAAATACGTATTTTTTTCAACAGGGATGATAACACTAGAATGACAGCTGGCAAGAAAGAATGTGTTGGTAGAGGTAATGATAAATTACAGAAGCGATTCTTGCTTACTTCATTGAAGAAACTTTACACAAAATATGTAAGCGAGGGAGGAAAAGCTTCATTTTCAACTTTTAGACGAAATAGGCCAAGAAATGTGTTACGGCCAAAGTTGAGTGATAGAAACACCGTTGCATGTATAAAACACAGTAATTTAGCCTTCAAAGTTGCTCATTTAAAGAAAATTGGCGTTATAGGTACTTCCGATTTGCAAGAATTACTTGCATCGAGTGTGTGCAGCGTTGAATCGTACGACTGTATGTATTTAAATTGTGAAAAGTGTAAAGACACCAATCCTGAAATGAATTTGACAGATATTACAAACAATACAGAATGCACATGGATACAGTGGATTAGAAAGGAATTTACGTTTGAGAAGGGAATAGAAAGAAAAATTACTACTACAAAGAAATATGCTAAAGAAAGTATTAAGGGTACATTTTCAGAACTCAAAGAAATGTTTTTAGCTGATCTACGTGCATTCCGGCAGCATTTCTTTAATATAAATCATCATCACAAAAAATATCGAGAAGTTATTGATAACCTACTACCCAATGAAGCAGCTCTAATAATAGATTTCTCAGAAAATTATTCCTGTAAATTAGGAGAAGAGATACAGGCTCTTCATTTCGGAGCATCAAAGGGCCAAATTACGATCCACACTGGCATAGCATATCTACAACAAAAAAAGGTTCCTTTTGCTTCGCTGTCCGACTGTAACTTACATGACCCTGGAGCCATCAGAGCCCACATAGAACCTATAATTGAATTATTATTAACAAGCAATCCCGACATAGATACCATACATTTTTTCTCAGACGGTCCAAGTACGCAATATAAACAAAAAAAAAATTTTTACCAGTTTACAGAGTTATGCAAAAAGTATAAATTTACTTTTGGAACCTGGACGTTTTTCGAAGCTGCGCACGGCAAGGGTGCTGCCGATGGAGTAGGGGGTGCTGTAAAAAGACTGCTGGATCAAAAAGTGGCATGTGGAAATGATGTTAGCTGTGCCGACGATGCTGTGTCTATTTTAACTGAAGAATCATCTGTTACAATATTTTCAGTCTCTGAAATTAATATTCGGGATGCACAGAACCAGATACCGAATGACTTGGATCCAGTACCACTTACTACACGATTACATCAAATTACTTACCATGTTCCATCAACAACACTAAGGTACCGCAATGTCAGTTGTTTCTGTAAGTCATCTTTGCCAAGAGGGATTTGCGAATGCTACAACGCGAAAACTCACGTCCTGAAAAAAACTATAGTCCACAAGATAAATTGTTCAACCAATGTTAGTAAAAGGATGCGCAACAATGAGGAAGCGGGGCAATTGAATGAATGCGGAGCAGTGCTGCCAGAAATTCCCGTGGTTTCACATCGAATATCAACCAATGACATTGACGTTATACATGACGAAGGTGGAATTTTTCAATCGAAAACAAAAGCAAGTAGTTGCATCATTCGGGAAACTGCTGGAACAAAAATTGTATTGATGGCAAAAAAATCAGAATTCACTTAATATTAACACTAACGTCTTGACGAATGTAAAACAAAAACCCAAGATTATATCGCAAGTTATAATTCCGCCCTCAAAATGTACCCCAAAAATTGTTACCAATAATGAAAATAAAGAAAACTTATCATCACTTAACACTAAAAACTATGACCGGCTTAAACGAAAAACGAGAAAAGAGATTAAAAGAAAAGATAAGAAGTTAAAAAGAAAAAAAGAAGAAGATGAATCAAGCAATAGTGACATCGCTATGAGTGTCCACAGTGATTCAGACATTTGCGACGTTGCTTCTGAATCAGATAGCCTGGATATGCAAGATACAGATTTTAATATTAATAAATCAAAATCTAAAGGCTGCAAAAAAAATGTAAAAGTTAAAATTGAAAAGACTAAAACTTGCCTTATCCCAGATACTATGTTGCATCAGCCCTCTTCAAGTTCCAACTTAGAAATTGTTCCCATTGATATAAAAAAATACGATTATGTATTGGTAAGACACTTTTTAAAAAAAAGAGTGGAATATTTTGTAGGCACAGTTTTGGAAAAACCTTTCAATGACAAGGTAAAAATATCTTTTTTTAAGAAAAGTTGGCAAACATGACAATACAAAATTTATTAAGACAAAGTCAATGGAAGTGGAGCTAATAGATTGTAAGAATATTGTAAAGACTGTAGAATTAATGTCGATCAATGAAAATGAGACTGATTTTGTATTTCTTGACGCGATGATTATATATATTTTGATTAAAGAATTACATAATTATCACTCAAGTTACCAGTTGTAATAAATATATTAAAGTTCCTTTTTAAGTAATAAAGTTCCTTTTTTTTGTTTTGTTATTTTCACCGCCAAAGTAATTGTTTTGTGTAGGTTGTAGTTTTTAAAGCATGTTTTCGGTGGTGAACTTGTTAAAAATACATTTATTGATGTTAGCAGTTGTGTCAGTCTAACAATAAATAAAAATATGTACCTATTTGTTGTTTCAATGTGAAAGCATCCTATTATTCCTGTGAGTAACATTTTCTTATCAGGTGAGTAACGTTACTACCCGGACTTCATGTGAGTTGCGGTCGATTATTTTGACTTCTACCCAAGTACTTTATAAATAACTATTTTATCACGAACTATCTAATCAAGTAGTAAAATACTTCTATCTTCCTTTAATCTTTAGCTTTTTTTACGAAATTATCACGACCGAAACAAATAATATTATATGTAATCACTCATTAAAATAATGAACATTAATAAAAAAATGTTGTTGCTGTTTTTTATATATTAGCATAGAATCAACAAATTACCATGATAAAAAGTATGTACTTTATAAGTTCTATAAAGAATATTTAATGTGAGAAAGTGTAAAAAACCTTATTACTGTTTATATAATTACCATTTTTCCAGTTTGTATCTAGCAAATGGTAATGAGAAATTGAAAATGGTAGTCAGTACCAGTATACGCTGGCCTCTTTGGCTATCTCTTTTTTCGCTGGCCTATTATATTTAAACTCCTTACTTCGCTAGGCCAGTCCAACGTCATAGTGTTACTACCAACCCATGATTGATTGTTGATCGTTCGGTGTCAACTGATATTTCAACATCTACATACTGACAACTACATACATACATGAAAAAATCTACATACTGACAACTAGTGTCCGACCGAAACAGGATTTTCAACCAAAACCGTGAAAGAAACTTCGGTCTGGGTGTCAAAGGTACAATGAAAGCCCATCAAATACTGTAGCAGAAAGAAAATGACCACCTGATATTAATAGAAACTAGTTGCGTTATGTTCTTGGACATGAACTGTACACATAATTTGTCGTAAAGTTATGCTATGAAGACAAAAATTAATCCACACATCTATACAAATAAATAAAATAGAAGTGTCTATTTTTATAATCAAAATAACAGCTCTTTACTAAATGCACATGAAAGTGTATACGGTACTTATAACAAAAGCAAAATTTTAAAAATTTTTGTCTGTGTGTCTGTTTGTCCGGCTAATCCACAAAATGGGTGGACAGATTTTTTTCAGGACTTTCACTGGCAGATAGCTGATGTTTTAAGGGAACTTTTATTTTAGAAAATGCATTAGTGTTTGGCGCAAAAAAATTAAAATGCTAAATTACATATTGGCAAAGTCGCCGGGAACTAGTCTAGGTCTAGGCTAGTCACATATAAAGAGAATGAAAATAATAATATAACTGATAGGACCACAAATGTAATACCTAAAACTACACCGATTAAAAGGACTATTAAATTCTTATGTAGTATTATTCTAAAGGCAAAACACAAAAGAGACAAAACCACCATAAAATTGCTCTGATTTAAAACCTGATAACTAATTGCTTTTATTTAAAAAAAAATTTAAATTTTTTTAAATCAGTATGATATTTCTAGCAGGGGTAGTAATATGAATTTTTCAGGTGTATTTCAAGACTATGTTCCATCTACATTGAGCATAGAATTAAGTGTAAATGAAATAATTGATAGCCAGCCTAATGTTCTTGGATCATCATTGCTGTGTGATGATCTTGCAGATCCACAAGAGACTGCTTTTAAGACCACCTATGAAGTTCTTGGTCATGAAAGTGATACATATTCAAATTCCAGTTTAACACTACTACACGGTGTTTTCAAGAATCTTCAAAAAAAAGGATGAGGTTCTCAATTCAACTGTATTTTTTATGTGTGCCTTTGTGTGATTTTTTAGACTTTTTTAAAAATAAATTAAGTTGCTATATAGCTAAGTTTGATGTTATGTTACCTATGTCAATAAATTAATATGTGATTTAAGTATATGGTTTATTTTATTTATAAATGTCAACTACTTAGCATAATTACCATTTTTTAATACCAATTACCATGTGTTTCATATCTCATGAATCATGAAAATTTTAAACAACAGATTTAGATCTACATAGCAGTTCAAATACCGTGTGTTTGATTTACTACGTTTATTTGTTAATCTGCACTATAAACTTTACGTTAAATCCATAAAAAAATTTTTGCAAGCAATTAATTTACACACCCTGAATAATTTTATCTTCAAATATTCACCCTTTATCAGTCATATATAACATAATATTAAAAAAAATCATTTTTACTAACCTGGTGTTATTAGGTTGAAGAGAATGAGTTATATCAGTATAGAGTAATGTTATTTCCCAGCCATTTTGCGGGGTCCTTAAGAAGTACACTCTGGTTTTTCCATTGCCCAACTTTCTAAAAGAGATAGCCATTGGCACCATGGTAGACAAAGAAGAAAGTTCCTTCCTAAGATCATGTACAGCCTGACGAACTTCAGCCCAACTATATCTCTTGGAAGGAACTTGGTCTAACTCCCCTGCTGCAGCCCCATCTCCAGCCTCCCTCACCTCCATTTTCAAAATATCCATACAAAATTTTTATTATTTTAAGCAAATTCTCATGGCGATCCTACAACGAAGTTATGACAAAGAAACGTCGCAGTTATACTGTACCGACGACTGTTATTTAATACATTAATTTGTACAATTTCATGACTTTTTATATGATATAGGTCTCATTTTATTAAGTAATTGCGTGATAATAGGAATATTTGTCTAAATCGAGCCAACGCACTGTTTTTTGACTTAACTTGAATAAACGCACAGGTAAAAAAGATAAAAACGCCCGCAAATTGAAAACCACAGATGATAAGTCGATCCTAAATGTCAAAAACAGCTGTCAGCTCAGCTGTCTAATGATATATTTATTTATGGTCACATTAGCTATATAACGCTTTCACCCAAAAAGGAAAGCATCAAATGCTGTAACCACTGACCTCTATAAATACAAGTGTATACATAGAGATCAGTGGCTGTAACACATTTTATAGATTATGAATATGTTAACAATCTGTTTAACTTCCTCACAATATATTGATGTGTCAAATTACGATGTTTTTGGGATCTTGAATACAGACAGTATCTCAAGTTCTTAATACACCCACAACAGACAAAATGAACTAAGATTTATCGGAGCATTTTATTCACCATTTGTACTAACAGTTTACATGTCATCAAAATAGAGTTCAAACTATTATTTAAGCGATAATACAGGAGTACCTTTCCACCGGTGGTCATGTTTTCGTCAAGTTGACGTCAGGTACCTAACACTAGAGCCATCTAGTGTCGGGGACCAGAGCGAGGAGAGCTTCCTAGAAAATGTCAATCTCGTCTTTCGCCCAACAGCGCCATCTATTATTGAACGAAAGAATTTAGCTTTCTAGAAACCCCACACTCGAACTTTCTGCGTCCGGACGGTCGGCGCTCGTATTTACCGGAATATTCTGGATGATTAATTATTAGTGTCTTTTAAGTTTTAATTGGTGTACGGTAATAAAAGTGTAAGTTTTGGTAATTCGATCGGCAATTTTTATTGTCACGAACCCTCAAGCTCGTAACAATTGGTGTCAGAAGTGGGATAAAATCATGCCGAATTTTACCTAAGGAGGAAACGGAGGGTGTCCGTACCCGACCGATATACTAGGTGAAGGGGTTGCTCAGCATGACAACCGCCTGTCGGAAGCTGAAACCCAAATCGCGAAACCTGAAACCCGAATCGAGAAAGCTGAAACCCGAATCGACCAAGTGAACAATCGGGTTGACAACGTGATAGCTGACGTGAAGAAAACGCTGGACTGCCTCAAACTGGGGGATGGAATTACAGCTCCCGTAGTAGCTGCAACAGCGTAGCGAAGGTGTTGCAGCTACTGCAACACCTTCGCTTCGTGGGTTCAAGGTGCCACCGTTCGACAGTACTTCTTCCTGGTCGGCCTACAAAATCCAGTTCGAGGCTGTCATGGAGGCGAACGGCTGGAATAAAAGCCAGGCCATGACTGCACTCACCCTAGGCCTGCGCGAGCAAGCCTTAACTGTGTTGGAAGCTCTTGGTAAGAAAGTGACCTACGAGCAGCTTCTTGAGGCATTGGAGGCATGATATGGCGACGCTCATCTGGAACACGTCTTTCGTGCGCAGCTTCGAATAACGAAGATACCAGTCCCGCACCAGAAGGAAGAACAACCGACCTGAAGTCAGGTACACCAGAAACAAAACAATATAAAGGCCATCTTGATCCAGCGCCATAAGCGAACTGTAGAAAGGGAAAATGATCGCTATCGAGAGAGTAGTGCAACTAACGGCACCGCCTGGCGGCGGCAGGATCATCGTTCCCCTCACGTTAGGGAGGTTGCAGCAGTTACGATTCGCGACAACAATAAAAATTACAGCCAAGGTGCTACGGCTATGGGGAAAGGGGTCATCTTCGATCCAGCTGCCCTAAGCGATTTGTAAAAAGGGAAGGTGATCGATTTCACTGCTGATGCTGACTGATCGATGGCACTGGGAGACGAAATAAGACATTATTTAGGGTACGGAAAGAAAAACTACTGAAAAAAAACGCTAAGCTTTCAATATATAGGTTTATTGAAAATTTTGAAGAAACACTGAATGCAATGCAATTCAGTGTTCGTGCAGTGGTAATATAGCTGCTTAACGAAAAGCTTTCAGAAACTTGAAAGAACGTTTTCAAGATAGAGAATAATATACTCACAAGAGGGTGAATGTACTATTCACATTGATTATAGGGAAAATTATGCACTTAATGTAATGAAGAAATACAGTCCTACCATTTCGCTGGTAGTCGTAAACAATTAACTTTACGTACTTCGGTAATATATTTTCTGAATAATGAGCAGACACATAAAATATAATCCTTTTGTACGGTGAGTGAATGCTTGCACCATGACATTTCAGTCGTACGGGCTCACATCGTATCAATCCTCGAATACATAGGTGGAACAAAGGCACACATTTACATTGTACATTTTATTTCTGATTCCCCATTCAGCCAATATCGTAACAAAAAGATATGCTTGAGCTCTATCATAACCATTACGTGTAACTATAGTGAACCTGGTCATGTAAAGGGAGCCCCAGACTGAGTAGGTGCTGTTATGAAGAAAACTGCGGATTGGGCGGTTGATCCCCAGGGCAAGTTTGAGGAGTTCTCCTTTACGTGGTTGCCGCCTGTTATTTGGTTAGGTTCAATAGGAAACAAACAGAACAGAAACACTCGGACGATCCCCTTTTTCTTTTCTTTTATCCCACCCCCTTTTCCCCACCCAATCCAAGGTGTCAAGCGTACCGTGCCGATGGATGCGTGGAGGGAGTCCAATCGCAAACGGTTCCTACCCGAGATCAAGGCGATTCGGGTAGTATTTTAGCTCTTCCCTCGGCATGCGGGGCTCTGCCGGGGGTGACCGAGTATTTCTCTAGCTAATCGTGGAACCAAAACGGACGAAAACCGACATTTTGGAAAAGATACTGAGAAATCTCCTTTAATGGAACTAGCTGTAGGTTTGGAAGAGGCTCTTTTAGCCTCACCAACACCCTGCAACATTGCGCCCCAACCTGGGACGAGCCGTGAAGTGGACAGCACGTCTGCAGCCGAACCACAATCGGAAACGAACCAGGGAGGGAAAAGAATAAGTTCGTTAGGCCTTATAAGCTTAGTGGAGCAGCAAAGAAAAGGTACCGAAGGCTGATAGCAGCTGAGATAGGAGCCGAAGAGGCTCTCTCTTTCTACCAGAAGCCCTGGGACAAAAATCCTCTGTCCAAGCCTCGCCCAGTTCCGAAGGCGAAAAAACGCAGTCGGTCTGAGGAAGAGTCCCCCAAAGACCAGCCCAAAAATCTGTGAAGCTGGCAACGGGGGAGAAGAAGCTCAGTTTCATTGCCGTAGCTGGCTCCGCGTGTATATAAATTCGTAATTCGAATCCTATGTGGAGCAGATGCGGCTGGTCTACCGGGCACTAACACGGGCCATCGCTAAGACGGCCTACGGCGTAACCGGGAACGGGTCCAAAATTTTTGGGTTTCACTCAAAAGCCAGGTTGGATTCTGGTAACGTGCCTGAATAAGGCAAGCCAGGACTGGATTGTGAGTGAAATCGGAAAATTGAAGACATGGCCGGAGGCAGAGCTCTCGGTAATACCCTGACGGTGAACTGCCTAAGCCTCAGCTGGGCATTACCTACTTAATCCGCAGCGAAGCCGACTTTCCAGAGGAGGCAGCTGTGCTGTTGAGGGCACAAAAAGAAGGGCTCCATACTGAGCTCTGCAAAATCCTGCACCGTAGAGACGAGGAGAATGGGTTCTTAGTAACCTTTTCTCTGGACGACTCATCGCCACAGGCTCTTCGGAAGGCAGGCTTCAGAGTCTTCCTTGGCTTTCAGATGATAACTTTTAAAGTCAGGGGAGGCTCTGACGCGGCAACGAAGCCCGAACCCCCCAACTCCAATCACCTCAGCCTTCCACCTCTCGGGGAGAGGCTGGAACGCCACCGGTGAGAGTGACCAAGACTCAAGACGCAGATTTCGCCTCGGTCCGATGACTTCCGCTGGTGTCGTCCAGGCCTGAAGGGAGGGGAGGAGGCAGCGGTTTGACGAAAGGTAAGGCGGCGGTCAAGTGCGCAGGTAAAGGACGTCCTCGTCCTCAACAGGTGGAAAAGACCCCTGCCCCCCACGCCCATAAATGGCTAAACCCAAGGGTAAGACGAGGGTCCTCCAGGTAAATCTTCACCATGCAGCAGCTGCCTCTGCCGTGGTGGAGGTTTGCTTTGCAGAGGGTAACATTGACCTCGCCCTTATACAAGAGCCTTGGGTGGCCAACGGTCGAGCTCCGGGATTGGCGGCTGCCGGTAAGATTCTTGTCAATACTAAAGACAGTAGACCCAGAGCTTGTATAATTTATAATAAAAATATTGAACTTTTAGCTGTTCTAGAGTATTGCAATGATGACCTGGTTACAGTCTTCATAAATCTCAAGGGATGCACAGCGGCCAGAGTAATCATTTGCTCAGCCTATCTTCCCGGAGAGAAAGCAGATCCTACCATCGAGTTAGAGCGAGTGGCGGTGTTCACCCGAAAACACAACGCCGAACTTGTGGTGGGTTGTGATGCTAATACTCACCACACAGCCTGGGGAAGCACCAACATCAACCAAAGAGGTGAATTATGTATATAGTTTATGATCTTCTCATCTCCAACCGCCTGGTAAGCCTAAACTTAGGTTGTACACCAATCTTTGTAACGAGTGCTAGGCAAGAAGTGTTAAACGTAACCTTTGCTACCAATAACATATCCAGGCAGATAAATTACTGGCATGTTAGTAGCGAAAACTCGATGTCTTTTCACAAGCACATTAAGTTTGTGATTGGAGCATCACCAACCTACGAAACCGTTACTTTTAGGGATCCAAAAGCGACCTCCTGGGTTATCTACAGAGATAGCCTAAGGAGGAATTTGGAAACGTTTCCTAAAAGCATCAAAACAATTGAAGTTCTGGAGTTAGCGACGGAGACA